TGATTCTGCACTTTTGGAATTTGCTCCTAGAACTGTCAATTCGTGAACACATTTGTATAATATATAAATTATATGGGTTTTGTGTACGAACCGACAATGTTCCACTAATCGGACTAAATCAGAGAACAGCATGGTATCATTGAAATAAAGTTAGTAATTTAACAAGAAATCTATTCGCTTGAATAAGTTATAGGTTACCTAACCTATAACACAGGGACCTAGTGAGACAGTAACGAGTAACGAGGTATAAATACATAAAAGCCTTTACGTCTCGTGCACCACGCGACCGCGCATCATGGAACGCAAGAATTCGTACAAAATCGTCGATTATTCCCTGGTCTCTCGTAATAAGATAATTATGTTCTGATAAATAAACAGTACGAGATATTTAACACTACAAAAGGGGTGATATCACCTAAAAAACTTGCCTTTTTAAAAAAGGTAAAGAAAAGCACCAAGTATAAGCTCCAACGACCGAATATATTTTATTGAAGGGTGATTTAATCGACACCACTGGCAACAGGAAAACCTCCTTTATTCGCACAACGTTTCGGCCATGGGTTTTGGCCCTTATCAAGTGCAATCAATTCAAACGGCGCATAGCATGTGGTTAAATGCCATCGGGCACCACTCTATAAACAAAAAGACGCAGGGTAACGGTTTTATACGAAGGTTGTCTTACAAGTTTGATTCTCATTAGACTTACAATTAAAATACTAAATAAATAATTACAAATTAACAAGTGCAGTTGAATAAATTAACTAAATAAATAAGGAACTGATAAATGAATAAATAGGCTATTTCATTACGTACATTTAAATTAGTAAAGCGCGGAGCTTGTCTCACTCTGAGCAATTGTCATCGTGGCGCTGTGGAAATACGACTAAAATTAAGTAGGTCGTCGCTATGTCAAGGAACCTATAGTTCAGCGCGTTTCAAAATAATATAATAAATATAACACTCCGATTAAAAATAAATAGGTAAACATATAAATCGTGTCCTAGGTGATGTCAATGATTTTTTCGTATACCCCTGGCAAACTTTCGGTATCCCTTTGGTAATTGATCGTAGAGCTGTGTCTTTTTATAAAGAACATTTCAGCAACCTCTCTTTTTCTTAAATTTCTCTCTTTATGTAGTATCTGGGGGTCGGACCACTGAAATTCGTGTCCAAGTGTGGTGCGGTGTTTGCTAACCACTGAGTGGTCATTGTCATGTTTCTTTATGTCGCTGAGGTGTTCTTTAATTCGGGTATCAAGGTGTCGCTTAGTTTGTCCTATATAACACGCATCACAATCAACGCAATTGATTTTGTAGATCAATTCAGTTTGTTTCTTGTTGGGTAATCTGTCTTTCCCCTTTTTTATTATATTATTAAGTTTTTTTAGGACAGTGAAGATTGTCTGAATGCCACACTTCTTAAATGTGCGACTAATATTATCGCTTAAGTTTTTTATGTAAGGTATGGTGACAACTTGTCTGGGGTCAAACGGAGTTTCTTTAGTTTTATTATCCTTTTGGTTTCTTAATTGTTTCAGTCTGCACTTTATATGTTTGTCTATGACATGCGTTGGGAAGCAATTATTAGTCAATATTTCTTTTACAAGTTTTAAATTTGCGTCATGGAAACTGTCGTCAGAGAGTAAGACCGCTCGGTCAGTCAAGTTATTAATAATATTAGTCTTATATTTGTGTGGGTGGTTTGAGAAATAGTTAATGTATCTTCCCGAGAAGGTAACTTTACGGAACCAATTTGTCACTAAAGTGTTGTTGCGTCTAATTACAGAAACGTCCAGAAAATTTATTTTGCAGTCTTTCTCTATTTCGTGTGTAAATTTAAGTCGTGGATGGTAACTGTTAAAAACTTTTAGTATGTCGTCTATCTTGTTATTAAGTATTATTGTGAACACATCATCCACGTATCTGTAGTATGTGTTAACTTCAAACTCCAGTTGTTCCAAACAAAATGTCTCCAAGTCGTCCATTACTAAGTCAGCCAAGATTGGGACGACAACGGGGATCCCATAGGGCTACCGAAAATCTGTTCATAGAACTGTCCGTTAAAGCTAAAACTAGTTGATGATAATACAAGTTCAATAGCGTATAAAAATTGTTGTAAGTTAAAAAAGGTTTTTTGAGAAATCTCTTGCCATCTTTTTTCAATTGCTTTAATAACCAGCTCTTTCGGGATATTATTAAAGAGGGCTGTGACATCCAAGGAGAGGAGGATCTCTTCTCGTTCGATCCTTCTATTTTGAATCAGCTTTGTGAACGCCCAACTGTCCTTAATGTGAGATCTCGGTTTAATAACTGACGTTTCTAAAATCTCATGTAAGAATCTGGCCATTTTATATATCGGGCTTCCCAACGAGGATACTATGATTCTCAACGGTAAGCCCGTTTTATGGACCTTTGGTAAACCATAACATCTTGGCAGATTTCCATTGTTACAATTAAGATTTTTATATGTACGTTCATCAATGATGTTATTGTCCAACCATGTTTTAATCAAGTTTTTTACTTTATTCGTTAGTTGGTTTATCGGGTCTTTTTTTAATTTTTGTATGTAGTGACATCGTCTAATAATTCTGTAATTTTACTCAAATATAATGTTTTATCCATGATTACCGTTACTTGTCCTTTATCAGCTTTTGTGACAAGAACATCATCGTTGAGGTGTAGGAATTTTTTACATTCTTTATGTTCACGCAGGATGTGTCTGTCCAGATAATCTATGTGTTTGTTAGCTCTAAGAAACCTTTGCAGGTTGTTACTGACATCATTCCTGGTCTCCTCAATTGTTTTCGTCCCGAATTTATATGCATTAGCTTCGAGATTCTTTATCACATTAATGACAGTCAGTAGTCTATCATCTTTATTTTTTGGGTCAATTGGCAATGAAAATCTGTCCCCCAAACTTAAAAAACGTAATACTGAATCTGGAATCTTTTTACTGCTGACGTTTACAATCCATTTTGAGTGGTTAAAATTAAAAAAAGAGTCATGTTCTGTGTGATATTTATTGAGTATATTATTGAATTTTTTGATTAATCTATTTTTAGTTTCCGTATCATGTTTATTAATCTTGTCCTTATTCATTAGGAAAAAGTTATTAGCTATGTCGTTAGGTAAAAGAGTGCGGATCTGAGTTTCTATTTTTTGTTTTCTTTTCTTAAAAATGTAAGATTGTAATTCATATCTTTGATTTCCATATTCAGTAACGTCTTTTTTGTGCGCGATTTAAGTTCATTAAAACTACGATTAACACTATAGCTATGGAAGGCGGTGTACATTTGTAAGTTATAAATGTGTGGTGGTTTTACATTATAACGTCTGCATCGAAGTAAGAATATAAGCTGTTGTCTTTGTGTACATATCTTCATTTGTGTAGTTAGCCACGTCTTCAAAAATCCAGTAGTCCTTCTGCCGTATTGCTTAGTAATTAGGTTGAAGAATCCCTCGTGGGAGGACACCATCATTCAGGTCAACGGTGTAATTAAAATTAAAAACTATGATATTGATCCGCCGAATATATTTTGTTACTCTATCTTTTTTGCATCTCTACAAAAATATCTTCACTACAAAACTATCTTCTCTACAAAAGTAATGATATCATCAAATGGCGCCAACTAAACTAAATAGATTTAAACGTGGTGGAGCGATGATTGGAGTGGGGACATGCCCGCCGGCTGGTCCGCGGTTTAGACAATTTGCATCTCTACAAAAATATCTTCTCTACAAAAGTAATGATATCATCAAATGGCACCAACTAAACTAAATAGTTTTAAACGTGGTGAGGCGATGATTGGAGTGGGGGCATGCCCGCCGGCTGGGCGCCCGCGGACGCCCGTTGCCCGCGGTTTAGACAATATAATACAAATAAATATTTTATTTTAAATTACAAAAACTTGGCGTTTTCTGCGAAGTTTTGAAACGATTTGCTTGCTTGTTTTGCAATTATTATTAAGAAAGCGCTATGATCATCAATTGACGCGATATCGACGACGGAACGTGACAACGCCGCATCCCGACTTAATCTTTCAAGCTAAAAAATTTTTACATTTTCATTAAACTCAAATTCTATTCACAATAAACAATATTTTAAAATATGATTTTATTAAAGGGTAGGTAAGGAGAAACTTCGCAGAAAACTTTTACATGTTTGGAAAACATAATACAAAAAATATAATTTTTAGCATTGGTTTTAATAATTTTTGAATGATTTATTATTTGTCTCAGTTCCCGTAAGACTCTATGTTAAAATAGCAATATCAAATAATTAGTAACTTGTAAACGAGCAAATAAAAAGAG